CACCCCGACACCCCCCCACCCCCCAGCTACACCCACCTCTTTGGCACCGGCTTCTTCCTCTTCCTCCCGGCGTACATCGCCGAGCACCAGGCAGGCTTGGAGCCCGCAGTCGGCGGCAAGCGAAGGGACCGGGCGGCCGCGCCCGGAGGCGGGGGTTAAGGAGGAGGGGGCGGATTACCCCCGGGGGCCTCGGCCCTGCCCACCCGGCAGGGAGCGGCCGGCACGAGGCGGTGGGTACCAGGGTCAGGTTGTGCAGGAGCTGCTGAGCACAGGGGACAGGTGCCACCGTCGAGAGAGGCCACTGTGCCCTGAGGGTCACCGTCTCCACCAGATCCTTGGAAACACCATGCCCATGGGCTACCATCCGCAAGGACCCACAAATTCCCGGGGAAAAAAATTGTGCCGTCCTCAGGAAGCTACTGTGCCCATGGACCATCGTGCCCAGAGGGTCACTGTGCCTGGGGAGCCACTGTGCTGCAAAAGTCACCATCTCCCAGCTCACTGTGCCCATGGGACACAATGCCTGCCAGCCGCCATGCACAGGGGGCCACCAGATCCTGGGAGCCACCATGCCTACGGGCAACCTCTTTTTTCTGCAAAAGGTGACCACTTCAGAGACGTTTCCGTGCTCCTCTACTGCTGCAGAGCCTGCAGGATAATGTTCACCCACAGGCTCATGTTGCTGCTCTCCAGCCATCGTGTTTGGTGGCTGTGTTGTCCCTCCTGTCAGACAGCCCCCAGCCCCAATGTCTTCCAGAGCAGCCAGGCTGGTGTAGCCCAGCAGATGTGGTCCTGCCTGACAGCTGCAACCAGAAAGACAACATGTCCTGGTTTGAGCTAAATAGAATTTTCTATTTAGTGATGTTACTTTTCAGCTCAGTCTCTTCTAAGTGGCTGAACTTGCTGAAACTAGCAGCCATGTTTTTCCGGATAGTGTGTACTGCTACAAGCGATAATCACAAGGCCACTATCTCACCATGGGTGCTGTATCTGCACCTATAGGGAAGAGTGGACACAAAACTGACCAACTAGGTATTCCATCCCACATATATCATACTCAGTATAAAGCCAAGGGATCACAAGCGTATTGACCCTTCCATCTTGAACCCTTTCTTCCATCTCACCCCCTTCAATGGCCGAAGTCCGAGCAGAATCCTGCTAGTTTGTCTGCCTCTGATCCTGATTTGTGTGCTCCTGCATCCTGCTCCCACCAGCTGCTGAGTTTGGTCTGGGACTTTTCCAGTGCCCTGCTCCACAGAGCCTCTGGTGATGTATATGTCATTGGAGGGGTGTTTTGGGGAGGATTTTATATTGGTTTTGTATATATGTTTGTACATATCTGTATGTATTTAATTATTTTCCTATTTACATTATTATCCTGTAGTATCAGTATTATTGTTTTATTAAATCTGTTAGTTTTATTTTCCAACCCATAACGTCTCTGTCCCTTATGCTCTTTTCTCTTCCATTCTGGGGAGGCGAGAGGGGTTAATAGAGAGCGTCTGTTCAGGATTTAGAGTCCAGCCCAGCCCTAAACCATGACACAACACGGAACTGTAGGCACCTGAATTTCTGCTCTGTTATGCCATTGAGATGTTTTGTCATGCAGTCACCAGTAAAAAATGAAAAACATTTATTTTTCCACCCCATGGAATAAACCTCCCCTTTGGCAGCTGTTTACCATGGCACACAGTGATGGTATGGTGGGAGGTGAGTCTGTCCTGTATTCAGCAGTGGCCACAGGAAGATTAAGAATGAGACAAGCAACTTTGATATTTTCCCTGAGGTCTTTCTTGGCCTCCAACTACTTTCAGCCCAAGAGGTTTCCTCAGGCAGATGTGGTTTCTACCCAGTAATGATCTTCCAGGCTCCCCTTGAATCCCTGTAAATGTTTAGCTCCATTGGTAATGAGTTGCACAGCCTCACCATCACTGCACAAAGCCTCACCTCCTCTGATCCCATTTTAAAGCCTGGTTTCCACCACTTGTGGACATTTGGATCTCTAATTGTCCTTGCCTGTCCTTCTTGTCCATTGTGTTCTTCCTGAGACAAGAAGGGTGATGAGAAAACTGTGGGTTTGTACCAGTGTCAGATGACATCCTTTATTTTCTTCTCTTCACCTTTCCTCACAGCTTTCCTTTTTTGATCCTTGCTGAGCTGACATTTTCAGGGACAAGATGCTGCTCCTGAGCAGTAAGGCTCAGCTCAGAGCCCTGTGTGTTATGTTGTGATGTGGGACTCCATATTCCCACCTGCATCACTTTTACACTTTCCTGCACTCAACAGGACCTACTCTTCTATTACTCCATCTTGTAAAATTCCTTTGACATCCTCTCTAGAATGAGTACTCATCACCAAACCCAGCCTCCTCACCATTCACACCCTACTTAGGATGGTGGTGTCAAACAGCAGAGTTTCTAGCACCAATCAGGCAGAGCTTGACCTCCTGGCACTGTGGGAACTGCTCTCTTATTCCCTTGCAGGTATAAAGGATCACGGAGCAATGGTCCTCAAGAGTCAGCCCATCCCCTGCTCTCGCCACCCCTTCAGCATCCTGACAGCTCTTCAGCCTCCACTGCTGAGTTTTTCCTACCCTCTCACTGGAAAAACTTTTTTCTTTAAGCCATTTGCAAATTCCAGGGACAAATTCTTGAAATGAGAAGTGACTGATTCTTGCCAAAGGGCAAAGCAGAAGCAGCTAATGGTATCAAAAATGCCCCAGGTCAGCAGAGCTGATGTCAGTTTGATGGGAAGTGTGTCAAGACATTTGTTTATGGCCTTCCTAGCCCATATGTAGAGACCCAGTAACTTAACCATGCTTCCAATAAGGCAGGCAAAGATCCAGCTCAGCCTTGGAAACTGCACTCCAGTGTCTCCATCAAGTGGAGAAGGGAAGCTGTGGGAGGAAGATGTCCCAGCCCAGCTCTTGGGTGTCTCAGTGGCAGGCAGGATGTGGGAAGGCAGTTTCCAGAGCCTGTGGGACACCCCCAGATTTGAGAAGCATACACATGGTCTCTGCTTAGCCAAATATCTCCAGCCCCTCTTTGCCCCCAGTGCTCTCCTCCTGGACTTCTCCACTAGTTCCTCCAAACTCCAGAGCCTTTCCCAAGCAACTTTACATTGTTCTCCTACATCTACCACCAGCTTTTCCTAGGGAAAAAACACCTGATTTACCTCTTTCCACTCAGTAGAGGTGGGCTTTTTGTCAGAGATGGAGCAGGACCTAAAGCGGCTTTAAGCAGACAGGCTCCATGAGGCATCTCCTGCAAGGCAGAGGCAGGCTTGGGGTACTGCACAGCTTTCAAGCCTAAAACCCTGGAACCCTCCAGGGGTGTCTGGCACTACTGAATGCAGCAGGAAGGGGGCTGGGAATGACCTACCTGAGCTCCAGGCCCGAAAATTAGGTGGCTGTACTGATCAAGAGGCAAAACCATACACCTACAGCTGTTTTCTCCCTGCTCACCCACCTTGGATTGCCTATCAACCACTGTACACAGACTCACAGGTGTCTTGGTGGGAAGGGACCTCTGCAGATCTCCAGTCCAACCTCCCACCTGGAGCAGGCCAGACATGAGGCCTCAAAATGGGTCAGCAGAGAGGTTATCTGAAGCACAAGATCCTGGGGGTGAATATCCTGGTTTCACTGAGATAGAATCATAGAATCAGTTTTCTATTCAAGAAAGCCACATTTATGCAAAAACTACAGTACTTGATTTAGTGGAAACAAAAGTTGATAATATATTTTTAGTTTTTTGGCTGGCTCTGATATGCAGTGATCAAGGTACGTAGCATTTTTGAGATAACCATGTACAGAAGCTGGGGGGAGCAAAAGCCAGGGGCTTTCAGAGCAGCTGACCAAGCTGGCTAACAGAATTATTCTATACTATAACCATCACACTTGCTATAAATTGGGGAGTTTACTGAGGACACTCTCTTATTCTTCAACGGTTGGCATGCCCAGAGGGTTTCACCCATCGTTCTGTTCCTGAGGCCTACTACTCCCTTGCTTTTGCTAGAGCTGTTGTGCTCACGGTGTTCATTATCTAGGTAATATTCACTGCTAGGAGTGCACAGCTCGCAACTTCTGTGTGAGCTGAATATAACTTTATGTGTTTTATTATTGCTGCTCCTATTATTATTACAATTTATTATTACTGTTATATTATTTTAGTTTATTTCAATCAATTTCACCATCATCTTCTTTTGAGAACCAGGATCAAGACAAGGATGGGATCACTCAGAGATGCCAGTGTGGAAGGTGTCATGCTGTCCTCAGCTAGCAATGACTAGCAAACACAACCCAAATTAAAGGCCCAAAGCATAGGATGGAAGTGTTTTAGATATGGAACCGGAAGCTGTCCCAGATCACCGACTCCCATACAGCTGGAGAAGTAAGTGGATCCTGGTTTCCACCTCTTTGCCTTTGCAAATCTGGAATGGTTTGGATAGCCAGACACTGGGACCTTCATTGTAACAATCAGGTACCCACCAGTCTGGAATGGGGAGTGACGGTCTTGCCTACCCCCTGCCAGGTAAGAGTGGAGACACTGTGATCAAGGCTGCCTTTGATGTCCCTGGATGGTGGTGAGGAGGCAGGGGGGGCACACAGGCTGCATCCTTCACATCAGATTGTGTGATCCAACATGGCAGCTGACGGAGAGTGATATGATGGACACAACATGGCCAGTGTCCAGTTGCATCCTATCATGGCAGAAGAACGAGGAATAAGCAGCTTGCATTCCCAAAACTCAGGCCTGGGACATCCCACTCTTCTTGCCTCATAGACCCAGTGAGCAGGGGGAGCATGAGGGGCTTTGGCATGGGACCTCTTGTCCATTTCAGCTGAGGGGTCAGAGTCTAAGGAGCCATGGGGGACGTCAGTGCAGCGGGGTCATTGTCCCACCACCAGTTCTTCTCTGAGCACCTTGGGACTTGCCGAGGGAACCACGTTTGCCAAGGAAGTGCTTTTCTCAGCATGAGGAAGCCAAGGTTTGCCAGGCATAGGGTGTGGGAGAGGCCGGCGTCTCCTTGTTCCTGGTGCTGCTTGATCCCCTGCCAGCTCTGCCTGTAATGAGACTCACTCAAGGCAAACTTCATCATTCAACCTCATGTGGAGGAAAAAAAGGTTATCAGGAGTGGTCAACATGGATTCACCAAAGGGAAATCATGCTTGACCAATCATATAGCCTTCTATGATGGTGTGACTGGCTGGGTAGATGAGGGAAGAGCAGTGGATGTTGTCTACCTCGACTTCAGCAAGGCTTTTTACACTGTTTCCCATAACAACCTCATAGGTAAGCTTAGAAAGTGTGGCTTAGATGAGTGGACAGTCAGGTGGATTGAGAACTGGCTGAATGGCAGAGCTCAGAGGTTTGTGATCAGCAGTGCAGAGTCTAGCTGGAGGCCTGTGGCTAGCGGTGTTCCCCAGGGGTCAGTACTGGGTCCAGTCTTGTTCAGTATATTAATCAACGACCCGGGTGAAGGGACAAAGGGTACTCTCAGAAAGTTTGGAGTGGCTGATACGCCAGAAGGCTGTGCTGCCATTCAACGAGACCTGCATAGGCTGGGGAGTTGGACAGTGGGGAACTTAATGAAGTTCAACAAAGGCAAGTGTAGGGTCCTGCACCTGGGGAGGAATAACTCTACACACCAGTACAGGTTAGGGGGTGACCTGCTGGAAAGCTGGAGAAGGACCTGGTTGGACCTGGTGGATGACAAGTTGGCCATGAGCCAGCAATGTGGCTTTGCAGCCAAGAAGGCAGATGGTCTCCTGGGGTGAATTCAGGAAAGCATGGTCAGCAGGTCGAGGGAGGTTACTTTCCCCCCCTATTCTGTCCTAGTGAGGCCACATCTGGAGCACTGTGTCTAATTCTGGGCTTTCTGGTTCAAGAAAGACATGGAGCTACTGGATAGAGTCCAGCAGAGGGCTACGAAGATGATGAAGAGACTGGAGCATCTCTCTTATGAGGAAAGGCTGAGAGACCTGGCCCTGTTTAGCCTGGAGGCTGAGAGGAGATCTTATTAATGCTTATAAAGACCTAAAGAGTGTGTGTCAGGAGGATGGGACTAGACTCTTTTCAGCTGTGCCTTGCAAAACGATGAGGGGCAGCAGGCACAAACTGGAACACGGGAAGTTCAAGCTCACCGTGAGGAAAAACTTGTGTTACTGTGAGGGTGACAGAGCACTGGACCAAGCTGCCCAGAGAGGCTGTGGAGTCTCCTTCTCTGTAGACATTCACAACCCGCCCGGACGCGATCCTATGTAACGTGCCGTAGGTGACCCTGCTTCGGCTGCTGTCTGCCCGCCTGCCTGCTCCCTGCCCGCTACGGGGCCGGGGCCGACGCCGGCGAGCAGGGGGCACGGCGGGGCGGCCAGCTCCCTCCTAGCCACCCCGCACGTGACGTCATCACTCCGTGCCCGGCGCCTTCCGTCGCGGCGGGGCCGGCGGCGTCTCACCGGCACCGGCATGGCCT